CAAAAGAGATCCTAAATAAAAAGACAAGCCACAGAGTGGAACAGAAGAGCTGCAGTGCTTGTGACTGACGCCTGATTCGTGGGTAGAACAGCTGAAGTTAAAGAGAACAAGGCAATGGTGAAAAAGAAAACAGGAAAAGTTCAAGAGCAGACAGGCAAGTCGCAGAAGAGGGCACACGGTAGCCAATAAATACACAGATAATACGTACAATAAATCCGTGCTTAACATGACTACCAATCAGGATACGAAGATTAAATAATCAAAATAAAATGAGATGTAGTTTCACATTCATTAGATTGACTTAGAACTTTGAAGTCTGACAGTTCCAGGAGCTGGTGACATTGTGGGGAAATTAGTACTTGTACACACTGCTAGTGTTTAAATGGGTACAACCACTTTGGAGAATAGTCAGGTTTGGTAATTTTTTTTAAAGAGATTTTATTTATTTGACAGAGAGTTCAAAAACAGGGGGTGGGCAGTAGAGGGAGAGGGAGAACCAGGCTCTCCACTGAGCAAGGAGCTGGACACAGGGCTCGATTCCAGGACCCTGTGATCATGACCTGAGCCAAAGGTAGATACTTAACTGACTGAGCCACCCAGGCGCCCCATGTCTGGTAATGTTAATGTGAATGAATATCCTAGGGAAACATTCTATGTGGGCTTGAGAGACATGAACACGGATGTTCATGTCGTGGCCATCCCATCCACGGAATGGCTAGATGAGCTGCGTTATAGTCTTAATGGAACATACACTGAAAGAGGTAAAGATCCTCGAAGAAAGTCAGGAAATGGAGTCCTCCTTCTTGCTCTGTTTCTGACTGATAACAGGGAGTTACATTAGTCACCTGTTCCTTTTTACAGAATGCTGTCCCCAGATATTCCTGTGGCTTACTCGCTCAGCCTCTCCAGGTCCGGGTGCAAATTCCCGTTTGCTTCGAGAGACTTCCTTGACCCCAGGATCCGAACAACCAGTATTTGTACTCCCTGACCCTGCTTTGTCAAGAAACAGAGTGGTTTAAAAGGTGAGGCCAGGGATACCTGCGCGGCTCCGTCAAATCAGTGTCCAGGTCTTGGTTCTGGCTCAGGTCACCATCTCAGGATTGTGACAGTGAGCCCTGCATGGGGCTCCGTGCTCAGCAGAGTCTCCTTCCCACCCCCTCTCTTTGCCCCCCACCCCGCTTGTGCATACTCTCTCTCTAAAATAAATAAATCTTGGGTGCCTGATTTATTTATGGCTCAGTGGGTTAAGCCTCTGCCTTCGGCTGAGGTCATGATTTGGGGTCCTAGGATCGAGTCCCACTTCAGGCTCTCTGCTCGATAGGGAGCCTGCTTCCTCCTCTCTCTCTGCCTGCCTCTCTGCCTCCTTGTGATCTCTCTCTGTCAAATAAATAAAATCTTTTTAAAAAATGAAATAAATAAACCTTTAAAATTTTTTTAATAAAAATAAATAAATAAGTAAATAAAATGTGAGGCCAGACCATGTTCTAATCCCAGATTTACCTTGTGCTTGTGTGTATCGCTTTAAAGTTAGTTAAGCCTTCTGTGACTCAGTTTCCTCCTCTGTAAATGGAGACAATAATAGTTTTCACCTCAGGGGATTGCTGGGAGGACCAGGTAAGTTAATATGCCGCAGACTTAGAACAGTGCCTTATACAAGGAAGTGCTAGTTAACAGTAAATTACGCGGCAGTTAAACCGAATGACGTGGGTAAATCTCATAAACTGGTTGCTGAATGACAAGAGCAAGTCCCACGTGCATCTCACTCCTCCTTGAACTTCCCTCCTGATTACGGGCATGTGCGTGGTCCAGGCCTTGGTCACACCTACAGTGAGGTGTCTCCATGGGTTCCAGTGCCTCCCAACTGCTGTCCATGCCTCCCAGAGCCCGTGAGAGTCCATTTTGGGCAGTATGGGTTGAACTAATTGAAACAAATGCATTTTGACAAGTCTGTGAATGTCAGAGGATGAAACTCCACTGACTCTCTCAGATGGGGTATTTTAAGAAGCCGCTGTAAGACGTGAAGATGGAGGGAGCAACAGAGCAGGTGAGTGACACGGATACCCGGAAAGGGAGAGTATCCTAGAGGCAGGCTATTTCCAAGGGCAGGAGTTCTGGGATTCCCAGACAAGAGAGCCTGTGGGCTCTCACGCAGCCCGTTTTTGAAGACTTTTCTAGGGTCTACTGTGCTACTGCAGCATTAACTGTTATATTCAAAGAGGGCTCTGAGCATTTAGAAAACATGTAGGGGCCCAACAGACACATGAAAAGATGCTCCACATCACTCATCATTGGGGAGAAATGCAAATCAAAACCACAAGGAGACAGCACCTCCCACCTGTCAGGAGGCCTAAAATCAAAAATGCAAGAAACATGTTGTTGAAACACAAGAAACATAAGAAACAACACATAAGAAACAACAGAAACATAAGAAACAACACAAGAAACATGTGTTGGTGAGTATGTGGGGAAAAGGGAATACTTGTGCGCTGTCGGTGGGGATACAAACTGGTGCAGCCACCGTGGAAAACAATATGGAGGTCCCTCAAAAAGTTAAAAATAGAATTACCATCTGATCCAGCAATTCCACCATTGGGCATTTACCCAAAGAATACAAAAACACTAATTTAAAAGAATACATGCACCTCTATGTTTATTGCAACATTATTTATAATAACTGCCCAAGTGTCCACTGATAGATGAATGGATAATTACTCAGCCAGAAAAAAGAATGAAATCTTGCCATTTGCAATGACGTGGATGGACCTTGAGGGTATAATGTTAAGTGAAATAAGTCAGGCAGAAAAAGACAAATACCGTGATTTCACTCCTATGTGGACTTTAAGAAACAAAACAAATGAATAAAGAAAAAAAGAGACAAACCCCTAAACTGACTCTTAACCACAGAGAACAAACAGATGGTTGCCAGAGGGGAGGTGGGTGGGGACATCGTGAAATAGGTTAAGGGGATTAAGAGCACACTTATGACGATAAGCACCAAGTAATGAATAGAATTGGTGAATCGCTAAATTGTACACCTGAAATGATACAACACTCTATGTTAACTATACTGGAATTTTAAAAAAATGTTTTTAAATAAAAAAGAAAAAAAAAGATCTAGAAGGATCTAACCAGAGCCCTTAGAACTGGCCACAGGAGGGAGAGTGGAACTGGGGACAAGGAGGGTGAGCAGAGGCTTTAAAAAGAAAAAAAACCTATATACTTTTGCATGATTTGAATTTTTTATAGTGAGAAAGAATTTATAACTTGTGAGGTATTTGAAGGAAAAAATTATCTTGCCTGTGAGGTACTCGGTGAATGGGCATCACTATTATTCTTTAAAATGAAGACAGACTTCTCACCCAGCACAGAGGTCCCCAGGCAGAAAGGCAGCCCGCCGGCACCCCTTCCTCCTGCATTGCCGCTGGCCCTTCAGCAAGTCTCACTGGGTCTAACCTCCAACGTACATCCTGAACCCACCAGCTTCTCACTGCCCCTCAAGACCTGGCTGCCTGCAGAGCTCATCCCTCCCTAGACCCACATGCCATAGTCTCCCGCTAGTCTCCTGGCAGCCGCCCTTCCCCCTCCAACTCCCTCTGCCCAGCAGTTGAGGTTCCTTAAAATCCCCAACCAGGTAGTTGGCACACACCAAGCAGTTGCCATGTGCTAGGCACTGTGATAAACCAGTCACTCAAGCTCAGTTAACCCTTTAACAACACTGGGAATTAGGTACAGGTAAAATCTCCGCTTCACAGGTGCAGAAACCAAGGCATAGAGCATCCAGCAATTTGCCCCAGGTGCACATGGTGGAACGGCAGAGCTGGGATCCAGTCCACCTGGAGCACACACTCTTCACCGCCTCCCCACGTCACCCCCTTACAGCCTGTCTGTGCTCCTCTGTTCCTGCTCCAAGCATTGAGCGTGCGCCGTCTGACCCTTGCTTGCCTCTCCAGCCTTGGCCCCCACTCCCTTCTCCTTGCCCCCACTCCTTGGCTCCCCAGCTACTTCCCTGCCTGGAAAGTTCTTTCTCTCATCTTCACATCACTCGGGTCTCTGTTCAGATGCCGCCCCCTCCAATAAGTCTTCCCTGATCACTCTTCCTAAAATAGCCCCCACTTTATTCTCTGTCCCTTTCCTGCTATCATTTTATCCGTAGATCTCATGGCATCCTGAGGTGACATCATCAAGTTACCTGCCTGAATGTTTACTTTCTGCCTCATCTCTCTAGAATGTCTGCTTCACGGGGGCACGGGCTCTGTATAATAGCACAGTAAATGAATAAATACACTCGAGGCAGCCCACGAGGACCCTGGCCCAGACCTGTCATGTGGGACTGCCTGGCATCTGTCCAGTTCCTCTGCCCAGGGGGCCGCTTCTGCCCTCTGGGTCAGAGGTGGGACCCCATCCTTCTCTCCGGGGACCAGGACCAGCAGAAAAGAAGGTGAAGTGAGATCCTTGGGATTCCTTCCCGGTTTCTCCCCATCTGGTTCATCCCCGTAACCACGAGGCCTCTAGCCCGCCAACCACCTAGAAGGTGAGCTCACAAACCTACCCTGCCAAAGTGGTAAAGATGTGAAGCATTGCCCCACCCAAGGAGATGTGCACTTTAAAAGAGGCCAAACAGGAATGACACTTTACCCCAATGTCTGACTGTGTCATGACGTGACTTCCAAGGCCAGGATGCTGGAGGGGGCTGCTGTCTTTCCCTCTCCCAGGCCTTGGCACACAGGGCATCTCAGAAGAGTGTTGAGGGAGGGGGAGTAGGAGGGGTGGACCTACTACCTACACTACCACTGGGTGAGTGTGTGAGAGACCGGGATCTGGCTGACCCCAACCTCAAATGTCCCAGCTGCCTACCTGCCGGCCCACTCAACCCTCCTCTTCCTTTTCCACCACCCAGAAGGCCTGGCTCTGTCCCCGAAGCGCCCCCAAATGATCCTCAGGCTCCACTTCGGGGACTCTCGCCAGAGACTCCCCCAGGGCACCCAGAACAAAGGCCTTACCCATTTCAATTCCGCAGATGACCAGAGCAGCGATCACTGCACCTGCCGATGTCCCAGCAAAGCGATGGGTGGTTTCCAGCATCCGGGGGGCCAAGTCTCGGAAGGCATCCACAGCCCCGGCCTGGTAGAAGGAGAGAAATCCACTACCAGAGAAGGAGATGGAATGAGGGGTGTCTGGGTCCCCTTTGAACACCTGTTCTTCCATCTCCTCGGCCCCTCGGTGCTCGCCTCTCGGGTTGCTGCTCTCTTGCTGGAACTCCGACCAAGCTTCCCTGCCAGCTCAGAACCTAGAAAGGGGTCGTCTCTCCCGGGTTGGCTGGGACACCCACGGATGGCACCGGCAGCCACTGCCTGGGCCTGTCGAGCTCCTGCAGGAGGCAGTCCCAAAGGCTGGTGAAAGGCTTCAGGCCCCGGTCGAGGTGCAGAAGGCACCTTGAATGTGCGAGCAGTGTCCTGGGCGTGCGGCCACCCCCTGGCTTCATCGCGTGGCTAGAGTCATCTCAGCCCCTGGCCTGTGCTGTGGACAACAGGCAGCATTGGCAGCTGCCACGGGGACCGTCCCAGGGAGGCAGGCACTGCTCAGCCCAGGAGGCTCCACACACGGAGTTGCAAAACCTCCGCTGATGGTTATCAGAGGCTTCCTCTCTCTCTGACACGCTGCGACAGCCAAGGAATTTTATGCTGGCCTCCCTCCAAGGGGAAGGCGTCCCCACCCCCACAGGGGCCAGAGCCAACAGGTCGGTCATGGTTTTTGAGGGGGACACCCTCACACCACCCATGGCCCTGCCAGCATCACCCCTCCCTGGGCTCCTCTTCCAGGCCCTGTGGGGCGTGCATGGTGTGTTACACAATTGTTTTTATTTGTTCTTGCAAAAGAACTTACGTGTTTGTTCACATGTTAGGACATGGCCATGGGCAAAATGGCAAAGGAAAAGAAGTCAGGCTTCAGGGCCGCACCCATTGCCACCTCTCCATCTCTCCCCACCCTTTCTCCCCAGCCCGACGTTGACCCACTCTCCTGTAACACCCTCTCACCAAGTCCCAGACTGTCATGTCATCTCCTAAGTATACAAGAAAAAATCGGACTGAACTCTAGATCACTCTGTCTGGAGCTTTGTACAGCGCACTCTTCTAATGATAAATTTGAGATGACAATATTTAACCCTAAGAATGCACACAGCTTGGGAGGCCAGATATGGGGACCTCGGGGGCAGAGGTATTTTGGAGCCCTGAGGGCCAAGGGGCTGGTGCCTGGGGACCAAGTTTGGCTACAGGTCATGCCCCCTCTGGAGCTGTACACAGTGGCCCTGGAGACAGGGCCCCTCCTCAGTCCACAAATTTCTCTGCCTCAGATATCGCAAAGCTGGCAAGATCACATCTCTCTCTTCCCCCACAAGACCATGCAGTGGCAGAAACAGAATTAGAATGGGACACCAAGTCCCCTACTCGATGCTTGGTCCAGCTCCCCACTCTGTTACAATGTGATGTCAATGCTCCCCCCAACGCAAGGAACTCCCCTGCACGCTTCGCCTCCCTGGTCCAGCCTGGAATCCACAATGTGGGCAATGATCATGGGATTTAGTAAGAAGGGACTTTTCTCTCTTGGGTGGATAGTCCCAGATACAGAATCGCTTCCTCCATCTGGGAAGAGACTTTTTTTTTTTTAAGATATTTTTTATTTATTTGACAGAGAGAGAGAGAGAGAGGTCACACGTAGTCAGAGAGTCAGGCAGAGAGAAAGGAGGAAGCAGGCTCCCCGCTAAGCAGAGAGCCCGATGCGGGGCTCGATCCCAGGACCCTGAGATCATGACCTGAGCCGAAGGGAGAGGCTTTTACCCACTGAGCCACCCAGGTGCCCCTGGGAAGAGACCTTTTGACCAAATGAGTGTGTAACAGGGAAAATGCGTGTGTCCGTGGGCACGCACACATGCTCATGTGTGCAGAGAGAGGTATGAAGCTCACCGCTTCTTGGGAATAAGACCAGCCAATGTGAAATAACCAGGGAAATGCACGAGGCAGTCTGTAATTAAGGACTGACTTGTGCAGCGCTGAGACTCCTGCCAGGGAAGCGAAGATACGAGGGCGAGTAGCATGGTTTGGGGGATGTGAAGAAGCTAGAAGCTAGAAAGATACGGCTATAAATTGCCAGGCATGTGGTACGTCTGTTATTATTAAAGGGTAAGAAGAGTCAAGGCTTCTGGAACAGATGGACGTGGGAGATGAGGTGGGATGGAAAGGTGGGGTCGGAAGAGGAAGGCGTGATCTACTTGTGACTCGAAGGAGGAGCTGTCAGGGAGCTCAGACGTGGCAAAGAGACCTGGATTGGAGGGTGAGGAAGGAGAATAGCACCATAGCCTCCTAGAGATGTGGACGCCCAGGCTAGCACAGCAGCAGGAGGGAGACAAGCTAATGAAACAACGGCCGCAGAGCCTCTCGTGACCAGGGGACTGGCTGGATGAGGGTGAGTCACTGCTGTTGCCCCGTGTTCAGCCTGGGGGTCGGGAGGGGTAGGCAGCCTTTGGCTGACTTAAGGAAATGGGGGCAGAGCTGGGGAAACTGGGTAGAGGATGAGTTAACTTGGAAAAGTGTCTGAGGAGACAAGAAGATGCTGGTGTTGGAGGCAGGGGGAGGGAAGGCTCCAGAGAGGTGAGCAGAGACCCCTGTCCTTGAGGCTGCAGAGAAGGGTGAGAAGTCTGAGGGGGTTGGCACGGGGCTATGTTGAAGAAAGACAACCTTGGACAAGTATTCTTTTTTGAGGTTCACCTCGCTATCCCCAGTAAAATAGGAAGTGAGATCACCTTGCTCTACACAGGCTGCCTGAGCTCGAGAAGGCTGGGGCCCACTACCCTTTCAAGGACAGTGCCTTGTCCTGATGTGGCCTCTGGTGCCCCACTCTCCACTTCCCAGGCTTGGCTGCTGGATTAGACCATAGTCCCTGTGGAGCCCACATTGATGAGGGCCCGTGGGCCGCAGGTCTCTCCTGTCTTGGGCCTCGGAGTTGAACACCTGAAAAGGTTTTTCTCATCTTCCCTTGTTTCTGACTTTACACCGAAAGCCCTAAGAACTTCAAGTGGAGGACATCAAGGAAAGATCACATGCCAGCATTTCTGCATTTGATTTTTCAAGTCGGCTCATAATCCATCAGGGGTTTTGAACTCAGTTGGCACGGCCCATGTGACTCATCAGTCCCTGAGGCAGTCCCAGGCAAGAAACAGAGACTGCTCACCACGCATGATCCCAACAAGGCAACCTGGAACGAATTTACGGAGGAACCCGGAGTTCCCATAAGTATGAAATATGTGAAGCCTGCCAGGGCACAGCTCTCGGAGAGAAAGGCAGCATCTGGATTCTGGGTTAGTGTTCAATGATGGCGCACCACCCTCTGCTCAAATCCTGTAACATGTTTACTTAGTGAAGAAACGGGTTGTTTCTTGAGGTGAGTGAGAATGAAGGTCACGGCATCGCCCATGAATAACCTTGCCAATAATGTTTAACCTGAATCTAATTCAGACTTAACTTTCCAGTTCACGGTGAATACAGAGTATGAAGGAAAAAGTGAAGAGTGCCGGGTGGAAATAACAAGACAAAGTGAAACTGTGGGAAGGGCTGGTAGCTCCATGGTAGCCATTCCCTGTCCACTTGTTCTTTGCCCACACCCCTATAAAGCAGCTGAAAGACCTGATCCTTGATTTTCCAGACACCCCTCCACAACCTTGATCTAGAAACAATCATAAGATCCAATTGCGGTCAGTGAGAAGCAAGCGGAAATCTGCTGGTGGCTTCTAAGGAAGACTTTCCTCTTTGGTAAAAGGAGAAAGGTACATAGGGAAAGCCCCTTTTGCTCTGTCCGCCATTTTTCCTGCCTGAGATGCTGCCCTGTGAGAACTCGATGTTTGGAGCTGTAACAGTCATCTAGTACTCATTGGGGGAAACATGGCAGACACGATGGAGTGTATGAGTTATCTATTGCTGTGTCACAGATTACCTCACAACTTAATACCTTACAGTAACATTTATGATCTTACATCGTTTCTGAGCATTAGGAAGCCAGAAATGGCTTGTCTGAGTGGTTCAACACTCTCATGGCTGTTGGTGGGCATCAGTTATTCTCTGAGTTAGAAAGCTCTGATGCCTCACTACATGGACCTCTCCAAGGGGCTGTTCACAAGAAGGTGGTGTGATTTCCCTGGAGTGAGATGCAAGGAAGTGAGAGAGAGTGGAAGAGAGATAAAGAGAGAAAGAGAGAGAGAAGAACAAGAAATAGCGTGAACCCAATATGGAAATTATAATCTTTTTATAACCTCATCTCGAAGGTGACACCATCCCTTCTGCCATATTCCACTGGCCACATGGGTCAACCCTGGTAAAATGGAGGAGGGATGTGAATACCAGAAGGTAGGAATTGTCAAGGGTTGATTTTTGACGCTGGCTACCACCCTGAGAATAGCAAAAGAATCTTTGATCGACTAGTGGTATATTCTCCGTGTGGTGCAAGTGTTTACACCTTTTTCTAAAAAGTCAGCAATTTTTTAAAAATGAAGCTTAGGGAGAGAGGAGAAAATCTGACCCAATGGAAGTGGGGACAGAGCTTGCAGGTATCCTGTCATGTTGTCCTTTATATGACCTTGAGATAATTCATGCAGCCTAAATCATATCTTCTCATTATGAAATAGCTCCCACATGAAGTAAAGTACCCAAAATAGAAAAGCAAATATCCAAGTACCTACCAGACATATTGAACAACCTTAACATTTTACCACATCTCAGTCAAATATTTGTTTGGGCTTAAAAGAGTGAAACACCAAAGGGTGGAGGTGAACCTCCTTTGAACCCTTTCTTTCTTTTTTTTTTTTTTTTTAAGATTTTACTTATTTATTTGTCAGAGAGAGTGAGCACAAGCAGACAGAGTGGCAGGCAGAGGCAGAGGGAGAAGCAGGCTCCCCACTGAGCAAGAAGCCCGATGTGGGACTCCATCCCAGGACACTGGGATCATGACCTGAGCCGAAGGCAGCCGCTCAACCAACTGAACCACCCAAGTGTCCCTCTTTGAACCCTTTCTTAATCTTACCTCCCTCTCTTCTTCCCATGGGAAACCAGGTTCCCAGATTGGACAGAATTTGTCTCCTCCATGTTTTTACACTTTTATTACATGAATAGGATTTATAAAAAATGTATAGTATTGTTTTAAACATATTTCTAAATTTCACATAAGCAAACACACTGATTTATTCTGCGATTTGCCATTATCATCCAGTGTTACGATACACAAGGCTCTCGTCTTTTCCTTTTTGCTGCTTTTGGGTAACTTATTATGGAATTGTGGGACAACATATTTATCATTCTACTGATGGACCTTCTGGTTGTTTCTAACATTTCACTATAACCAACAATGTTGCAGTGAACACTTCCTTTGTAGGGCATGGGAATTTTTCAGGTCATGGTGTGGGTGTATTAATTGTACCCACGAAACCTGAATGTTCCAAAGGGACTGA